GCTGTTTTGCACGCGCTACCGTAGCGTGTCCGCAATATACTGCATTACAAAACCGAATTGATATAATTTTGGTGGTTCGCATATCAAATAATGTTGATAATCACACCACAGGATATGGCTTTTTGCACTAACTAATTAAGCATACATCGAAATATAGATATTTACCGTAACTTGATAGAAAAGATTCTAGTGTGAGACAGGTGTATCATGGAGTTCTGAGCTAAAACATGCTTAAATGTAATCCAGTGAAAATCAGGGAAACCGCATCTTAACGAATTATGGCCATCCAACCATTGTGTTCCTTTGTCTCATTCCCGTTATTCTATCAATGCTCCAGGCAAATTAATCAACACCGCCTTTTCTTTGCTTTCGCCTGTTTAACTCCAAATACGTCGATTTTATTTCCCTCTGCTAATTTCTTCAAGAAAAATCGTGAATTAAACGTACTAGCCATTAAAAATATATCATTTTATGTTAAATAAGTATTGTAAAAGCAAATTTGCCTTGCGTTCTGCCAGTTGAAATTTAACTTTTTTAGCCTGTTGAGTATTTTTTCATTTAGGCTGAAGATGGCTCATTATTCTTGCTGGAAGATATTGTATCGACTGGTTTGCATCCCTATACGGAGGCTGTGGAGGAAGTGTACGATGGCGAAATCATTGACGAAGGCGCTGAATCGCAAACAATGGCCCATTACGAAAATCGAATAGAAGAAGTTGCCGATCAGTCGTATCCAGGAGTCAGTCAAAGGGAGTTCCACAGGCGAGAAGAGGTCGTTGGGGATGGATATGACCGAAGTGTGGTACACTCATACAACAATGCAGAAAATGTTCGGGAAGGGTATTCCGATGGCAGAGAGCGTCAGGATGTACAACAACGATACGGTGGAGACGTGGTAATTGATGAGGCGACTATGCACTATGATGAGAGCGAGGTGGTGTTGGGCGATGATTATGAGCACCAAATAGAGGAGTATAACGATAATCAGCACTATCAAGAGTCACCGACAGCAGAAGGCCACGGAAACGTGATCGTTGAGGAAGGCTCGAACATGATTTCGGCGGCTGGAGAGGACAGCTCAAGTTTGTAGCCTTGACAGACTGTAGATTCACGTGGTTTTGTCGCCTCGTCCAGTTTTCCGCATTTACTTATGATTCTTTATGTTTTTACTGCACCACATCATTACAAACAATAATGAAACATCTTGAGCATGCACCGTTTACCGTTTTTTTCTCTTGCTATTGTGCAGTTTTCTTTTCTCTAAAGTAAGCAGTTACTGCAAATATATTCCGTATGGATGGCTTCCATGCTTTGTTCAAAGTTTGCATAGCTCTATTTTCAAATTTCTTCAGTTTTTGTCATACCGCATCGTTAACTACTGCTCAATGCCTTTGTTGAAGTCAACATTGTACATTAAACAAACTTCCTGTGTTGGAGATGCTTCCATGATCGGATGTTGTCTGAAATTCTTGTTGGATTCTCTGTCTATCACGTTATCTCCTATCATCCATATATCATAACCAAATCTTGGATTTGAATCATTGTTATGTCATACATGTACTGAAGAGATGTGTGGGGTAATTGACTGTTT